TAAAGGAATGGATTGTGTAGTGTGTAGTGTGCATTAAGTAAAAGGGCCCTGACTGGTTTTGATAAATGTTTTATTTTGTATTTTGAGACCTTTTTTTATCTTGGAGGATGAAAGATCCCCTGGTGACATTGGGCAGGTCTGTGGAGACCTAAAGAAATAATTGCATGCATGCATGTTTGTGTCCACGTGTGCTCATTGCATGAAGATGGCGTGTGTAATACATCCGAATGTATGACAGCTGAACCAAGGCAGAAATCTTAATGCCAACATGTGCCCAGAGTGACACAGTTAAGATTCAAAGCCAAATAGGAGGGTTTCTATGAATACAATCCTTCAATTTTGTGTGGGTTGCAGTCCGCAGTCGGATTGTTTTTGGGTTGTGAGAGACAGCAAGGGGCTGTTTACAGGTACATGTGTAATGTAATATAGTGTGTTAATAAAGCCATAAACCACACAAGGCGATGATTCACAGTGAGCATCTGTGAGGTGTTGTTATGCATGAGGGAAAAGTTTAACACCATGCCCCATCTGGAACTATTTATGGTGACTTTCCTACTCAATATCTACTCCTACAACAATGAAATAAAGTAGTACAAAACAAGTGTTAACAGACACAAGAAAAATACAGATCAGAGCATCTGTAACTTCAAATGTAAGTTTCTAAAGAAATGTTTTGAAGTGTGTGTTTGGGTTTATCACTTCACCCTCTTTGTCAGTTATTAAAAAGTACAAAAGAAAATAAACAATTTGTGAGCATGGGTGTAGCTCAGGTGGGACAAGTAAGCTGCAATCACCATGACTGATGGAAATATCTTGAGAGAAACCTCAATGGCTGCCACTGCTGAGAACCTTTAAAGCAGTAGTGTCTACCTTGTCAAACAATTATTTCACATTTTGTAAAGTTCCATTGTATGTATTTTATTTTACATATCTCGCACACCGCTATGTATTCCATGTTATTGTCTTGTGTTAAAGTGTTGTGTGGCTCACATCCACATTCTAACAAGAAAAAGAAGAAAGTATTTATGCTTCTTAATTTAATTTAAGTAACAATAGGAAATATTGTGCTTCTACCAATAAAATGTCTTAAAAATCATTGGATATGTGCTTGAAAAGTGTGCAGATACCGTGTGCATTCTTTTCAGCTTTGTCTTCAGAGAAAATCTTTTTAGCAGACCTAATCCAACAGTGTCAAGTCTATATTTCAGCATATTTTAGTAAAACTTTCATTAGCTTGTGATAATTACCCTGCTATAAATCAATTTGATGCTACTAATAAGCTCTATTCTTCACCTCGCTCACACTGATGGTTGTACAAACCACTGGGGTATTTGGCTGCATGCATGTTCATTAAATCTATTTATATTGCATTTTATATTCATAGCTTAATCTCTCAAGTCTCTCAAATACATGATATATTCTATAGCTAAATCTTTTCTTGACGCTTTGGTCTAAGAGTCATCACATTAACAAGTCAACTATTCTCGTTCACATGTTAAAGCACTTTTACTCCAGAATTATGTTCATTTGATGACTGTCAGGTTGGGCCAGAGCATGACTGAAGACTGTTGTGAAAGGCCAAGCCACAATGTCAAAAATTGACATTGTGGAATTCAGAAATCTGGATCATGAAGCTGTGTGGATTTCCGTTTTTATTTTAGGTTTCATTTAGGTCAACATTTTCTTTGAGGTCACAGTTAAAACAAGGGTTGTATTTAGGAATGGTGATGAGTTCTGGCAGTGCAGTTTAGTCAACCCTCTTAAATGCCTTGACAGGACTTGGTTTCGCTCTCTGCTCGGCATCTTGATGATGATGGCAAATGACCCTGAGCTGATATGGAGAGCTCATTAGGGCTCTCAGGAGCTGTGGGATCAAAGTGGAGATGTGTAAAGGGGGCAGAGCCCTGAGGTTACAGGCCCGTGTCACCTCCCTATGAGTTAATGAAGAGTGCTCAGCAGGGTTGTTTTAACCTGATGCAGCTATGTGTATGTGTGTGTGCATTTTTCACAGCGAGACAGAAGGTTTCTGAGGGTTGAAGGGGAATGCGCTGAAGGCTGGACTACTGTTTCAGTAAAGGCTTGTAAGGGCCAAGACAGTGTAATGCAGCCAAGGAGGCCAGGTGACACCCTGCCATTTATTTGACCTTTGCTGAAAACAATGCATATCTTAAAGATTTGCATGCATATAATCCTCAGAATTATTTCTCATATTTCAACAGCCAAGGTAAAGACAGTTACATAGACTGTAACCAGAAGGACAGCTACATCTAAATCTGTAACAATCTTCATAATCACTCATCTTCTATAGAAATGCCTGAAACAAAGTCTGCCTCCCCAGATGACCCAGATAACACTGCCTGCCCTTAGAAACCAAGTGTGGGTGTGGCCTGAAAAAAACAAATATGGCGACCCATCCTTAGTTTCTGAGGTCCTGCACAATTCTACAGATTGTACTTAAGTAAAGTACGAGGTATTGTGATCCTTTTCGCCTTTTACCTGCTGCAGACTTACAAAATAATTCTAGATCAGAAAACAAACTATTATTACACTTTGATAACTACTGTAGAAGATAAATATTTGTTCTCTAAACTTGTTTACCTCAGCTGCTCTTCTTTCTCTATGGTTTGTTTCACCTCTTGGAACAAATACTTCCTCTCCACAGGGAAGATATATGGAAAATACATGTGGTTGTAATTTTTCAGCACCACTGATCCAAACTACTGTGCTTTGCATCCCATCAATTAGAATGATTGAATAGAGTATCGATAATGCATCTCACATGGTCAGCTGGAGACAATTCCGTCCTAATGGACTGTCGTCACATACTCTTTTTAAAAGTGTAGTTTTTGTACTATGTCTATTTGTGTACACACATATGGAGATAGAGACAAGTTATCTGAGCAGTGGGGGCTGTTAATCATGCCTTGTGTCTGTGTAAATACTGGCCAGGTTGTCCGTGCACCATGGGTGTCTTCCTGGTGAGAGTAACAGATCAAATACAGTGTGGCCATAACTGACAAGTCCCAGAAGGACCTACAGGAGAATACTGGCAATGCCCTGGGTCTACTTGTTTAGTATCTTAAAACCTAAAACAGAATTACGTTTCAGTTATTTTTACCCGAGGGGCCATGAAGTGCATCTATGTTGGTTTTTGCGTACTGGCAATGCTTTTAACTGTATGTGCTCTGCATAAATACCTAAACACCGGAACAGGGCATTGCACTGCTACTATTAAAACCTAAAAAAACTTTTAGAGCTTAACAAGCTTGGTAATGATCAGATGCACTTATTAAAGAACAGCCAATGGCAACTGTGGGTGAATTTCAGTAGAGTAGCAGTTTGATGCACCATGATTATATAGGCAGACCTTGATTTGTCATGTGCTCTTAATCAAGCTCCCAAACATCTCCTTACTGTAAAGCATGCTGCACTCTACCTCTCGCTGTCTTCTCTCTTTTCTTTCCAGTTTGTTTCTCCAAGTTGGGCTTCTGAAGTTTCCTGTTATTCAAAGATAAACAAACTATTGCCCAATGCACAGCTAAGGGGTCCCATTAAGTCTTTTAAAAGATGGAGATAAATTGCTAAATAATTTTGCCTTCCCCTCTGTTACCTTAGTTTTCCTCTTGGGGTCGTCCATGCAAGTGCAATGTATTTCTTTGTCACCATCTCCTTTTTTTGAACCAAACATACAACACAGTATCATCTGTGAAAAGTCTGGCTATGTTGATGCCACGTGGACTAGAACTACAGGGACAATAGCAGTAGTTTAATCAATTTACTACACGCATCAGAACATCATAAAGTTCATACAAAGATATTTGGACCTTAAATGGAATAATCTGTCCAGTAACATCTTGCTTTTCACACAAGCAAATAATAACTTTTTATTGAAAAGGATTTCTAGGAAAGTACTCATTCCATTTTTAATACACATACTATTTCCACTTACAGCAGGAAGATGATCATGTATTTTTTTCATAGCTGGCCAAGAATGCTGTCAACAGATAACAGTTTTAACACCAATGATTTACGTAACATTGAAAGAAACATCATTGTTTTTTCACATTACAATGTGAAAAGTGTTTTGTTAAATTGAATGTCACAGCATTTAGTGATAAGAAAATGATGTTTCAGTTAACTGTAATGTTTATTTTTTACTTGAATATGTCTACTGCAAATATTTAATCAGAAAGCTAAAATGACCAAACTACTTAGCCACCAATACCAACCGCAACATTAAACAAATATTTCATTTTACTTTTAGCCAGGGATCATTAATCTGAAAAGGATGATGTCTGATGTGTCACTGATTGATCATAACAGCTTTTTTCTGTTGTTGCTGTTGCATGTAAAGCAACATATAATGGGTTTAAAGACATTATTTTGTGGCAATGCACAGTTGTTAAGAATCATAATATACTGTAGCACCAGAACAAGGAGCCTGAGGGGTTTTGATGGAGTACAAGAGTTAAGCAAGGAACCAACCTGGAAACCATTTCCCCCTCAGGAAAATAGTTTTTATGCCCTACAGAGCAGGTCAGCATAAGGCTTATTTGGAAATAGCTGACTGCATTTAGATGCATGCTAATGACAGAGTGGAAGTACTGGCATATGTTTTAAGTGATAAGGTAGAAGATTCTGGCGGCTCTAGTCAGTTCTTAATTCTGCTTCTTGAAGATTGGCAATAAACTCACTAACTACAGTTTGTTGTTGTTTTTTTGTTTTTTTTTTACCTCTGGGAGTTCACTGACATTAAAGCAGTTCTGTCACAGAGATCGCCTTGGGTCACGATCTACAAAGTGACATGGGAAAATAAACTCTGTATAAGTTTTGTTGATTTCCTTCCTGCTGAAAAGGGAAATAACAACACAATAAGGAACTCTGCAGAGAGCGAAAGAAAGGTTGGCTGAAAGGGGGCTACAAACCTTTATGTCCTCACAGTTGATTTAGCTGCAGCATTTTGTCTTAGTAAAACTGGCCTTTTGATCCCCTTCTTTCAGATGTTAACGAATGTGAAGTGGATGAAGGCGGCTGTGAGGGGTACTGTTGCAACACCATTGGCAGCTACTACTGCAAGTGTCCTGAAGGCAGTAGACTGGGGCCAGATGGCAAGACATGTCATGGTAAGATGGACATCTGGATGTAGCTGGTTTGCACAAAGGCAGATAGTGTAGCAGGCTCTCTGCCCAGCTTGGACTTCCTGTACTGTTTTAAAATGTTTTAAATGTTAGATTGAAAATGATTGTACTTACTGTTAAAGAGGTATGTTATTTTTTCAAACAAACAAAACAGCACACATGATGCATGCTGTAACATGTCTTAAATTGACACACTCATGCAATACAACGGCAGTTGTTTGTTTAGAGCAGAAAACGTGACCATGCACAGAAAGTTTGAGACAAACAGCTGTCTCCACTTAGCACAATAGCTTGCACACACAGTTGTCAACACAACCTATGTAATGGAAGTAAATGTTTTATTTTAAATTAATTAATTAATTCTGTCTGTAAAAATTGCTTTTTTCACCGGTAAACCAAAAGTCGTGTGAAGGTATCATGTGAAGCTTTAATTATAAAGAAACATGGTTTTGTTAACATCCAGTGTTTCTCATCAAAATGAAGTGTGTGTATCTTTAAAAGTCAAAGCCAACCATTTGAATGAATTCAGAGGCTCTACATTCAGTCATATTCTAGGTCATGGATTAAAACTCTCTAGCTTAGGTTGACCAACTGAAGACCTACTTCCGTCTAGACTTCAGGCTGTAAAGAGCTGAACCAACCACACAGGCAGCACCACTTTCTAATAACCTCCCCCTCTCAGACTACTTTCTCAGTTTGACATCTGTCAGAAATATGCTGAGGTAGTGTTGGGCACTGAGGCCCATTTGTTCTTTAGAGGTACAGGTGTGAACAAATGCCCCTGACCTTTAACCTTCAAGACAGGATATTGTCACGTACTAATAATTTAAGGTCTGAGAGCTAACCACTGCAGAAGACAAACGGAATGCAGCTTCAGCAGCTGTGAAGTTCTTCTTTTACAGGCTTTTTTTGTGAATTGGATGTGTGGTTGTATTTAAGAGGAAAGACAGTGCATTTGAGTTTGAACTGTTGAAGAAAAATAAACATGTGAAGGAGCTGTTTTTAGACGTTTTGTTTAGTCTTTGTGGGACTTCTGAAGTTAGTATCTGTAAGATCACTTTCCTTGACTTTTAGAGTGCTCTGAGTTTCCTCACTGCTGTGTTTAACTTTAATCCACATGAAAATTTGGAAGATTTGATCATGTTAGTCATACTAATCAGTAAAGCAAACGCATACAATAAATCCTATCATATAAGGTAACACCATTAACAGTTTTGCTATCACACCAGAGTGCCTCTGGTCCTCTTTTGTTTTAAGTCAATTCAGTTCCCGTGGCGCTCATTCTGAAGACCACCTGTTCATTTCTTTCTGCTGCCAAAGCAGCTCTCCCAAATGTTTGGTCTGCTACATTGTCTAGTTGTAGATGCTAGGTCAGCAGCTCGGTTTAGAGCCAGACGGTGTCACGCGATACCATTCAGACCCCATGCCCCTCGACCTCTGACACCACCACCAACGCAACACTCCCGCCCAAGCTGCCACATACACCACCTCACCCACCGGTGAAAAGCAGCCATTGTGTGCCTCCCATTGAAATCCTTTCATACGTATATTAACCTTGACAAACCTCCCTCTGCAGCTATTGTTTTGCATGATAGGATCCTCTACAATAGCTGCCAATGTCTTAAAGTACGAAAGAGCCCAGAATGATAGGACGGTAATTATTATGTGTAGTGATTATTTGTTTTACCCAGGCAGATGTCTAAATAAAATGGACAAAAGAAAATTAATTCCTTTAACTCTAGTCAATGTGAAGGGTATGAAAATAATCTTTTACTGGCAAAAGGTCTCCAATTTAACCCTTTATCCCCTCAGTTCCTGTTATTGGAAACAAGCTCGTTAAAATGGTCTTTTCCCATGGGTCTGTCACACGCACACACACACACGCACACACGCAAACTATTTGAAAATAATTTATAATATTTGCACTGTTTGGTAAGTAACCTCCGAGGAACCTAAAGGATGGTAGTGTTGTATGCTCAAATAAACTGAAGCACATGTTCTCAAAAAAGGGAAATTGCAACATTATTTCCCTTCCTCGCACACATCTACTCTTTCATTACTTGTGCAAGGCAAAAAAAAACCCTTGCAAGTCAGACATGACAACCAGGAGGAGGTAAGGAGGATGGGTGATGTGTTATCCAGATGTCTAGTAAAGCCTGGTTGTGCTTGAGTGGAGTGTTCAGGTATGTTGTCTTCTCAACTCTGTGGAATATGAGCTTCAGTCTGACACACATGCAGCCATATGCAATTCTCTCCTCTGCAGAAAATGAATTGATTGCACGCATGCTACTGCACAAACAGCGTCAGAGTCAGTATGGTATTGAGTTGCTGAAACAGGGGGTGAATCAGCGTCTTTCTTTAAAGGCGTGCAGACACATTGGCTGCCATAGCAGGAAAAGGTTGACAACCTTTCAAAATAAACTATTTATATTTTTATATGCTGAAATATGAATGGTGATAGTAATTCTTAAACATGACAGCTGAACTGTACACGTCATACTCAAAAGTAGATGTCTGCAAAAGCTACAGCAGAGAGGATTTGAGATCTGGTCAAAATTTTGCAATTACAACTCTTTAAATCTGTAGTGCTAAAGATGTGTTTTTCATTTTCCTTCATTTCGCTCACTGCAGATGGAATGTTTAATTAGACCGCTTCAAAGTTGGATGCTGGAGATTTTATAAAGGATGCAATAAATGTCTTGTTTCTGAAAAAGCAGCTCAATTTAAGCTTCCATTCATTTCAGCATTTTCCCCTACAATTGGCCAAAGTTCTGTCATTGTTCAGCAAAGCTCCAATTGTTAACACACAAGATGATTCAAGTAGAGAGGCCGATTATGTGGGCTTCTAACTGTACCATGTTCATGACTCGCATGCTTGCAAATGAAGTCTTTAACACAGAAACAGACTAGCACTGCTTGGTTCTTGTTATTGTGCAATCTTGTGTTCTATGAGTGAGTGGTTTTCTTAATGAGCATTTGTCTGTGCAGGGTTATGAATACTTGTATATATATACTTGTATATATGTATATATGTATGTGTGTGTTCAGATGTTAATGAGTGTGAGGAGCTCAATGGAGGATGCCAGCAAACGTGTGTCAACACACCAGGCTCTTATCACTGTGAATGCAGCGAAGGCTTCCGCATGCACACTGATGGTCGGACCTGCCTTGGTAAGTGCTGTATAGAAGTATTTATTACACTTGTGGTAACTGTTTTAAAAACCTTTCTACTTCTCCCCACACTGCATTTTCCCCTCATTAATATTGCATATTTGAAAACATTTCCTCATTGGCGAGAGAACCACAGATAGACGTCTGTGGTTTGATTTAGTTGCTCCTTAAAGGACTAGTTCGACATTTCGAGAAAGTCTATTTGCTGACAGTTAGAGGAAAACATTGATACCACTTTTATATCTGTATGTTCAATCAAGCTCATCTTAGCATAAAGACTGGAAACAGTAAGCTTGGCTCAGTCTGAAGGTAACATAATCCACTTATCACCATTCCTGATCTCACTAATTAACACATCTTGTTTGTGTCATCTAAACAAAAAAGGATGTGCAAAGACGACAAGTTGTGGTTTTACAGGCGGTTGTGTGTGGGATTATTTCTTGTTTGGGAGCAGTCACTTACTGGAATTTCTGCTGATTGCCTACCAATCTCACAGTGACAAAGTACGAAGTAAAACGGCAAATTTTTATTTCTTACACCTTTTTGTACAAATAACAACTAGATATATATTGAAGAGAAAAACATGACAGTGGTATTTACCTTCTCATCTAGCTCTAAGAAAGGGGATAGTATTATTTCTCCAAATATTGTATTATTCCTTTAAAGATAACTAGAAGTAGAATCAAAAACGTAACTTCAGAAAACACAAACAAAATCAGAAAACACAACAATTCAAGTCAACAAGTTCAGTGCAACTTGCAGCATTTCTATATTTGGGTGTTTTCAGTGTTTGCAGCGTATTTCTGTATTTGTCAGATTAGTGAAGATGTTTTCTTCATGTTCTTGTGTTTTGTCTATTTTCATGTGTTTTCCTAAGTTGTAATACTTTGAGCTTTTAGGGCAACTGTATTATACAGTATACACCAAAAATCTATATTTTCTTATTGTTTTGTATTCTATTGTTTTGCCATACTTTAGCAATACAATGCATAACACTTTCCTTTTTTCTCTCCAAATAAACCTTTTAGAAATGTTTTCAGTCATTCAGGATAAAAAGATTATATAATAATTAATGTTTTAGAACCACAACCACCATAAAAAGTAATGCGATAACACTACGAGTGCTGAGCTTCCATGATTAATCCCAGAGTCTATTGGGAAATTCTGACATGATTTGAAAGGGGAAATATAAAATGATACTTTTTCATCATTTTAGCACCATAAAACCTGAAGGTAATGAGAGAATTTGTTACTTTATGAAAGTCTGCACTCCTCTGTTGCATTTTGCCTTATTTTGCATTCTTAATACTTCCATTTTTTGACCACAGCTTAGTGGTAGAGGATAGGAATGGAGGCAGAGGGATGGCTAATTGTGTCTGCTAAAGTCATCAGTAGTAAAAACTTGCCATTCTCTCAGTTTTACAGCACGTCTGTGTCATCATGTCTGTGTTTAGAGCACCCAAAAGGCACACGGCTGATATTCATATTTGGCACATCATTAAATCACAGGAGTAATGGGATGGAAAGATCATTAGAAAGTAACCAGGGGTACCCATTGGACCCAGCTTGAATATCATTTTCCAGTTTCCAGCCTTTACCCAAGAGTTTTCCATAATTATACGGCTGCAGAGTCTGAGGTGTAAAAGCCATTTTAGATAGCCAACAAAGTCAATTATATCTGTCGTCCTGTAAGTGTTCTACATCATATTAAATCTGTAATTAGATACCAGAGCAGATCGGGTTTTATGCTTTTTAACCACCGTATGTGTCTGTGTCTCTTTTGACTTTTAAGCTGTGAACTCTTGCTCGGTTTTGAACGGTGGATGTGAGCATAAGTGTGTGGACATGGGGAATAATCACTACAAGTGTGACTGTCGAAAGAACTACCAGCTGAAAAGAGATGGGAGACACTGTGAATGTAAGTCATTTTGCAAACAGATGTTCCCATAATACTAAAATATGACATATTAGAGTATGTTATCTTTCTCATGAGTAACATGCTTCCCCTGTTGCTAATAGGACCAAATTACAGCAAAAAAAAAAAAGATTTGTGTGCAGGCAGGGGAGGAAGATGTAGAGAGGAAAATGAACCAGTTACTGTACAGTATAGTGCAGGATCTTTTGTTAGTTTTATAAGGAATCTTTCAGATGCCATAGCCATACTCACACGACATAGGAAATGTTGTTTGTGCTGTTTCAGAAAAAAAAGTGGCACGTGCAGGAGTTAAGAATGAATTCTGTGCTCATGAAGGTCAGAGAATCACCTGCTGGGCTGATCTGGCTTCATTGTTGTGTATGCGTGTGTGTGTGTGTGTGTGTGTGTGTGTGCGTGTGTTTGTGTGTTTGTGTGTTTGTGTATATGTGTGTGTGTGTGTGTGTGTCAGTGAGAGACCCCTGTGAGGAGAGGAATGGAGGCTGCGCCCAGCTGTGTCTTTCAGAAGGCACCTGGGTTCACTGCAGCTGCCGACCTGGTTATACACTGGCTGGAGATGGCAAGAACTGTGAAGGTGAGGAACCACACACACACACACACACACACACACACACACACACACACACACACACTGTATATACACACCAAAATTGAGAGCTGATTTATCAAACAGTTAGATTTTTCCATAAGCTACAGCCACACTAAACCTCCGGTTGCACTACAATAGACCTGCATTGATAGGAGAGGCTGATGTTGGAAACTATTCTCACAATCCATTTCTCCTGCTCCACCTGTGGGGGACAGGAGAAGCCAGAGAAATTAGAGATCTGACAAAGCCTTCCTGCTGGAGGAAGTATTTGGAACATTGTTTTGAAATTCTTTACACATCCAGATTTTTTAAGAGCTTAAGGGAGCATAGGTTTGTGATGATTGCTTAAAAATGTGAGAGTATGTATGTTTGGTTCATTAACCTCTTGTGTGTGTGTTTGTACTTTGTATCTTGTAACCCGTGTAGCTAAAACTCATACAAGGGCTCTGAGTTGGTGTATGACCCATTTGTGTCAATGTACATGTGTGTTTGTTCCTGTTGCAGTATGAACCATAATAACCCTGGCCTTCTGGTCCTGAAAGTAAACTGTGACTTGGCCAAAAGGGTTAAGTTACTCTAGTCAAAGAGGACAAGAAGACATTCACTCTGAAATGCTCTGGACCTTGGCAATGTCTCAATGTAACCTAGAGATTTTGCAACTTTGATAAATCCTTGATATGAACTGTTTGATCTTGTGATTTATTTTTTCTGTGTCTTTCTCTATGTACAGTATATATGTGTAAATGTGTGTATATATGTGTCAGTGTACCGTATCTCTGTGTAAACACATTATGTGTGGTTTATTACCTGTCTCCAATAGACATTGATGAGTGCAGTTTGGCCCGTGCTAAGTGTTCCCATGGATGTGTCAACATGCTGGGCTCCTTCAGCTGTGTGTGTCATCCGGGCTTTGAACTTGGTGCTGATGGCAAACAGTGTTACCGTAAGAAAAGACTTTAAAATCAGCCTTCCACAAATTCCACCCACTGTTATACACATTTCTTTGTGCAAATGAGCAAGTTTTTACTCTCTACTCGAGTAATTTTAGGCTTGTAATCACAACTTCGCTGCATTTGCCATTTATACTTTCATTACAGCTAGTCTGTTATCTGCTCTATCAACCGAAATGAGCTGTCATCCGAGCTATGTACGCAGGAGAGCTCCGATCTCCCTTGTGGCACAAAGAGACGTGTGCTTGTGCCAGATATTAAAGAGCTGGCAAAATGCTGAAGTTTAGAAAATCAGGCAAATACCTTAAGGATTGATTTTTCCACTAATGTAACTGATATCCAGTAACCGCACACTATGCCACTGGTGGCCATGATGGAAAGCAGCCTGCATTGCTCTTACAAGCCGAGAGAAATAGCTAGCAAGGTTGATCTTTTAGAGTAATGTTATTGATACCTATAGATTAAATAAACTAATTGAACAGTTGAAACAGTTATTCCAAAAAGAGACTTGAGACTTCTCTTGCACTTGCATAAAGTTACTTGTGGAGATCTCTGGCTTGCACACACTAAACAATATTAAAACACAAAGAAACTTGTACTTTGAGTAGTTTATTGACCAAGTATTTTTATAATTTTACTTGACTAAAGATTTTCAGTTCTCTATCCACCCCACTGGATACTGTTAAAAAGCAGAACCATATGTACTTTACCTTTCTATTTCCAGTTTAATTTAAAATATATCTGTGTTAACAGTATGAATCGATTTATGAATAATACACATAAATGATCTGTAACATTGTCCTTTAGTTTTATCTCTGGTTATGCACTTTAATTGTGGTTTCTCTCCTCCAGGCATTGAGATGGAGATTGTCAACAGCTGCGAGAAGAACAACGGAGGTTGCTCTCATCACTGTGAGCACACCACCAATGGCCCGCTCTGCTCCTGCAGCAATGGTTACCAGTTGGACCAGGACAGGAAGACCTGTGTAGGTAAGAACTTCTCTCTGCGATTTTCATTTTTATTCACTTTTTCTCTGCTTCTGTCTTCCTGTCCATCTGTTCAAACCAACTCTATAACACTGCGTACCTTCCTCAGATAGTGATGAGTGTGTCAGTGGGGATTCCTGCTGCAGTCACTTTTGTAGAAACTACCCGGGTGGCTACGAGTGCAGCTGCAGAGCTGGCCACAGACTAAACTCAGATGGCTGTGGCTGTGATGGTAAGAGTGCTAGATTGTTAGCAGTTTACCTACACTCCTACTTTTTAGTGTTTTGTGGCACAGTTGTGCAGGACACAAATTCCCAGTGCACATTTAAAAACTGATGTCTCAGAAATGAAGGTTTTCGAGGCCGTTTCAGAGCAGAAAACAAAAAACTGAACATATTGCTTACTAAGGAGCAAGCTTTGTATATTCTAGAGCAAATGCCAGATGGGTAGACGAAGTGAAATCACCTAAGTACTCTGAAGTGAAACAAAAGTAACGTCTTTTACTTATTGGAAAAAAATTTGCCTTTGCTACTATCACCTTTTCATTATCTAAGCTGTTTGTTGTTTCTCCTGTTAGACATCGATGAGTGCTTGGCAGAGACCTCAGGCTGTGAACACTACTGTGTCAACTCCCTGGGAACATATGAGTGTTTTTGCCGACTGGGCTTCCGCTTGGATCAGGACCAGCACTCCTGCATTTGTGAGTGACATTTACATAATAGTTATTCTTGGATCTAATAGTTATTGTAGCATCAGCTGCTGTTTACGGACATGTAAAACATAATGTTTTTCAGCCATTTAAAATAATATGACTCTAATTTTGTACTGGGTGTGTTTAGCTCTCTATGGCAGACAACTGGAAGAAGAAGAAGAGGAGGAGGAGGAGGAGGAGGAGCAGCTGGAGGTCCACAGATTACCAGGCCCACTGTTCCGCAATGCTCCTCAGCTCCTAAAGTACACAGCAGCCTTGCACTCCCATTATGACATTGATGATGATGATGATGATGGTAGTGATGGTGGTGACAATGAAAAAGAATTAGAGATCCAGAGGGAGCGTCGAGGAGAGCTTAGACTGGACAGTAACATAGGTACAGTAAAAAGTGTGATGACACTAAGATATATGCCTGGTGAGAAATCAAACGGATATTATGTTATTGTTTTCCTATTAAATCTTCAGAGCAGAAAGATATGAAAAGAAAAACTTATTTATAGTTGACCATTACTTTTTCAGTGTGTCTGGATGGCTCATTTGGGGATGACTGCAGTGTGAGCTGTGAAGACTGTGTGAATGGAGTTTGCAGTGAAAACCGAGACCGATGTGAATGTTCACCGGGATGGACTGGGGTCATCTGCAACAAGAGTAAGTATAGTTAATAGGGCATTCTACAATTACATGTTTTCTTTGCAACACAAATTCTTGAAAAGTGCTGCACTGGGCTAAATTCTACACAGTCTCGCCTTCACCACTCTCCTCAAAAGGCTTGACTGATGAATTTTCCTATAAGTTTCCACTTACTTAAGATAGATTGTCCTCTAATGAAATATTGTGACAGTTTGGGATATGGTTATTCCCTTTCTTGCTGAGAGTTAGATGGGAAGATCGAAACCACTCACCCGTCAGTCTGTTAAATATAAAGCTACAGTCCACAACCGGTTAGCTGATCTCTCAAGGTAAGAAAATCTGCCTAGCAGCACTTCTAAAGCCTACTAATTAACATGTTAAATCTCATTAGTTTTATCTGCACAAAAAAAGAAATGTAAAAACAAAAATTTTCTGGTCTTATGGGACTATGTTTTGGCCACGAGCACCAACTCTGCTGGTTGCCTGGCAAAGGTCATAGTGACAAAGACTCAACTTGTCCTTTTTAACACTTAGTTACGTGTAAGTATCAAACAATACGTACCACCCACGTGTGTGGTATTGATCTTCTCATCTAACTTTTAGCAAGATTCCAAATAAGTGTATTTCTCAAACTGTTAATATATTTCTTTAATAGTTTGGGGACCTGAATATTTCAACACACATACACACACATACACACACACACACACACACACACACACACACACACACACACACACACACACACACAACCTTATTTTTCCCACAGGAAGCATCCTCTTCGAGGTCCATTTGAACTAACCATAGTGATGTGGACGAGTTTTAGAGAGAGATGAGATAGCTCCCAGTGTGCATCAATCCAGGGCCATGTATCAAAACCTGTCGGCTCCTGTGCGTGGGAGGCAGGGTTGTTTATGGGTTCCAGAACACAAGACCACCGGGGGAATCAATCTGTCTGCTACTGGAGCGAGGCCAGGGCCCCCAGCAAGAGCACAGCCCTCGGGCCAAGGATGTCCACTACTGGGTTAGAAAGCAAGGCTCCATTGTTTCCATCCAACTTCATGATTAATGGCTGTCTTTGGTCTAAGGCAGAGTCAGGCTCGTAATCACAAGAGGAGAGCCACGTGGGACAAGTCCGTTAGGAGCAATCTGTAACTTTAAGAAACACACTCCTGAGGTGGCAGTATTTAGACGCACACCCTGGAGGTGATGGGTCTGGACATTGGTAGCCTTTTCAGGTGGAGAAGATGAGCAATGTTACTGCCTGAAAAGAATGTATGGGAGTTGTTACAGTAGGCAATAACATAGTGGTCTATGAGGAACTGATGGTTTTCACTTGGATTTACACATGTACGTGTACATGTACGAGTTTCCAGTATTATTTTGTTTAAAACTTTACTATTCTGTTAGTAAATTTCATGGATTTCTAATCACTGATTAAATACTTAACAGAAAAGTAAATGACCTAGAATCATATCCGAGAAGCAACTTGTCAACTTTCATATTATTTGTGAACCAATACAAGTATTTTGTTGTGTGTTTTGCATGTTGCCTCAGCGTGCCCTAAGAAACTCCCCAGTATGAATTCTATCATTATGAAGCCGAATCAATGCCGAATAACCCCTCCCACTATACTGTTCTTTTACTAAGACTGCGTTTCCAGTAATAACACCACTGAAACTTTGATAACTTATTCTATACAGACTGAACCCTTCCTGCTCCTTCATTTATATACAGTATTAATTGTAATGTAATTGCCATAAAACCACTGTGAAGAAAGTGTGACATGGAATTCAAGCAGACATTCACTTGATGGATTGTAACACTTCTGCACATAAGCCAGCTGGTTGATGTTGTAACTGCTAACAAGGCCAGGGAGATTAAGTGTGTCAGGAGGGCACACACCATGGGGAAAGACAGGATGGAAGGTGGAAGAGTTGACTGACTTTGCACAAGCCTGTTCTCAGGCTGCATTCACTTTCTCTTCCCTCATATAGAGTCTGTGTTTCAGTGTCAAAGAAATTCCCCACAGTTTAATTCATTACGTTAAGGTGTCATTGCTCATTCCCCATGTTTCCACCTTCCTCCCTCTCCAGCTTGTCCACAAGGGACCTATGGGAAGGCCTGTAACAACCTGTGCCGTTGTCAGAATGGAGGCTCGTGTGACCCTGCGAATGGGAGGTGTTTGTGTCCCCCTGGGGTAGAGGGCCTGCTCTGCGAGGAAGGTTTGTTTACACATCACACACACACACACACACACACACACACACACAGGTGTGAATACAACAACCATGCTCTTAGTCAGTGGTTCCAAACATGTTTTGCTTGTGACCTCTTAATATGAAGCAATATCTCCTTACATCTCTGTCATAGATGAATTTGCCCTCCAAAATTGTTTCATTTGAATAATTGAGATCTGAATGAATAAATCCACAGTGTTTCACAAGACACAGGCACAAATATGACAAAAGTCAGAAAAATAAACATTTTATTTATGTTATTTCTTACCTGGACAATCACCCACTAGAATCATAGCCATGTAGGGGACACTGCCACAGATGTTATCTTATAATTTCAGAAGGGCACTGTGTCCTCATGTTTTATTTGAAGTGTTTGCTTTGTCACAGTGGTCACAGCTTACAGAAGTGGGCATCCTATCCTAAAGTGGCATTGTTCATGTTTACAGGTTGTCCAAAGGGTTATTTCGGGAGGCACTGCAGAAGAAAGTGCAACTGTCCCAACAATGGACATTGCCATCATCTGTATGGAGGCTGCCTGTGCTCTCCAGGACTGTATGGCCGCTTCTGTCACCTGCGTGAGTACCAACCTGAACACTGCTTAAATGTGCAGTGTGTAAATATGACCACCACTTGATCTTCCCTGTCTCTTAATGGGTGTGGAACTTTGTCAGTCTAACAATAACAAAAGAAAACAGCCTACTAGTTACATAGTTTGCCACTAACTGAGCATGGAGTGGGAGGGGTTATGTGTCTGGAGGTAAGGGGAAATGCTGCCCCCTGTTTGTTTGGAACATGTGGCCAGGAATTACACAGTGTACCTTTTAATGATGATGATCATAATATCACAAAAATACATTATAAATAATAACGTTTATAATAATAATACTGGTTGATCATCTTTACAAGTATAATGCCATTGATAGAAAATATATTATGAAGTTATGAGCAACTCTTACTGTATAAGGCAAAACAAATGTAAAACCTAAAGGGAAATTCTACCTAATTAAAGATAACTGCTGCTGTATTTTTGCAGAAGTGATATATGAGATAAAAATATGATGAAAAATGTGCAGTGATCAGAACCAGGTTTTGGTGTTTTGATGATGATTAACATACAAATGGATAAGACCACAGGCACTGTACACTTTGTGCTACTACCAGATTTGGTAATATTTAGGAAATTATGTACACATTGTACAAATAGTGCACACAGAGCCTGTGTCATGTTCAGTCTTCATCACTGGCTGTACTTAACCGTTTTGACGGAGGCACCAGGTGGGACGGCAGCTCTCGGGGGAGCCAGTGACCCTCCAGTTTTCCCTCAATAAGGTGGACAGCCAAAGCGAACTCCTCATTGTCCAGCATGCCATCGCCATCTACATCAGACAACCTCCAGACATGTGCAAGCACAGAATTGGGCAGAAGGGTGGTCGTCATCCACTCTTTGACTTTGGTGCTGCTCAATTTGCCCTCGTTTGGACTGAGGTTGTAGAAAATCTCATCGTATTTTGGCTTGTATTTCTCCACTACCCACTCATCGAAATCTGTCTCACTGCTCTCGTTGTCTCTGGGAAGTTCTTTGAATGGATCCCTCCTGTAATGCTCAGGCCTGAATGTTCCCAGAAATTCCCCGTCCAACACACCAGGGAGGGATTTCTTCCTCAGTTCTTGTTGTTGAAGTAAAGGCACCAGGTTTGCGATGTCAGTGGTCAGGAGTTTATCCAAGGAAGCCATTAAACTTGGTTTTAATGTCTTGAACTTTGAGAAATCCTGACCCAGAAGTTTCTCCTGAAAATGCATGTAATCACATGTAAGGTTCACAGAACACATTTAGGTTAATACATATGGTATTTAGACAGCAGTTAAAAAGTAGTGTTTGACCTGTAACTTGGTGCAGTCAGGGAAGTCGCCAGCTGGGACTCGATGCTGTTGCTGGATCTTGGTGAAAATGACAGGAAGCTGGTATATCAGATTGTGCTTCTTGCTTTCTTTGCAAAAAATTGTTGGCATCTCTTGCTTCAGATAGCCGATAATGTGGGCATGAGCCTAGGAGGGAACAAAGCTCAAATAAATTAATGCATCTGGGTTTGTAAATATTTAACTGAAGTATGGGTTGGAATATATGAGATCTCTTACCCTGACTAAGCGTGCTCGCTTCACCAGGTCATTGAGCTTGCGTACTGCAGCATTTCGAGGGAGGTTCCTTATGTCGGCCAAAAGAGCCTCCTCTTCCAGATCTATCAGCTGGTAGTGGTCACACATCTGCCTCGGCTCTGACCAGAAAGACCCGACGTAAACCTTCAAGATCTCTGGGGTTCGAAAGACTTTCCCTAGCGACCACATGAGGGCGCCGTACACTCTCATGAGCTGTTGTGAGTCCACCCTGTCTGCTTTGTTTAGAATCACACGCAACTTGTCTTCAAAGCCACACAGAGCCCCAAAGGCCCGAGTGAGCTCATCAGAGAACTCCAGTTTATGTGCATCGAACAACAGGATGATTCGATCCACACGCTCTGCAAACCAGCGCAGCACTGCTGGGAAGTCGTAGCCTGGGGATAAGGAATGACAACACAGGGTTTTCATTAACACTGTATGTAATGGGACAAGCCTCACTGACTCAAGACGTGGAGGAACATACAACATATCCCAGTGGCCCTCACTGGTTTAAAGCCATTTCAGTTACACCCAGATTAATGCATCCATAAAACAAAGCAACGACTGCTCCGTTACTTACTGCTCGTCTCCTCCCAACACACTGTGATATTACTTTCATCTGCTGTGCTTCTGTCTTCAAGTGTTTGAATTATTTTGGGCTGAAATGTTCTTATTTCATTGCATCTCCTCGTATAACTAGTATTCTCTTACTTGGAATTTAAATCCTCCTGACCGCAGCAATGCTTTCCAAGTTCAACTGTCTAAAACTGAATATGTGGAAGTAATTTTAGACCCACTGATTCCTCCTGACAGTAAAAAGGAAATTAGAAATGTAGTCTGTCTCACCTCGACTCAGTTTTCTTTTAGCAGCTGTTAAGATGCCCGGAGTGTCAATAATGCTGACACTCTCAAGGACTTTATTTGGCATCTGAACGCACTGAAACCTGCAAAGAAAAAACATGCATCAACATCAGCGTTCTCACTCTCCTTTATTTAAATGAATAAATATGGCTTTAAACTGTAATGTTTATTTCAGTGCTTCTTTGCTAAGGAAGGCAGAACATTGGCAAATAGAAAAAGGAAATAAAAATGAACACCTCTGAAACACTCCCTTCTCTTTCACTCTCCCTCCAACTCTTCTTTCTTCCTGTTTCCCTCTGTGTCTGTTGATTCACCTGTTCAGAAAAGCATTTCCAAAAAGGTCGAGGTTGCGAAAGGGCATTTTCCGATCCACTGTGAGGGCATTGCCAGGGATGATTCCTTCCACCTCTCCATACATGACGGCAGTGAAGCAGTCCGTGGTTGGCTCTGGTCCAACTCTGCTACCAGGAAAATCTTGCTCTATGAGATACCTGAAGCCAAACCACCATGGCCAACATTATTACCCCCAACACATCAGTGCAATACACAGCGGGATACACACATAAATCTGCAGTTCTTAAAATGGAAGTTTTGATTCTTACCTGATAAAAGTTGTCTTTCCTGTTGAGTACTGTCCTATCACCAACACCATTGGCTTGTTGTCAAAGTCTGCGTCCTCATAGCTCGGAGAATGAAAGTGATGGAAAGAATAGTATTTCTCTATCGGCAGCAGCCTCTTATAATAAAGGTTCTTCAACTCCTCTGTCACCACATTGATATCCCCCAATGTTTTAGGGTTGCTCCTATGCCTCCGGAAGGACATGGTGATGCTTTTTTGCTCTAAATTTCTCAGCGTGGAAGCTGCTCACTCTTCTAAGAGCAAACTGAATGATGGAAGAATGTGCACAAGGAATATTATCAGATTCTCACAGCTGTCTGCTCCATCCAGCAGCGGGACATTTAGAGGGTGGAGAGGGTGTAACCAGAGCCTGCAGCTGCACCTAACATAAAGCCAATGTCGAGAGGGACAGGGTGGAGTGGAGTTCAGTTTTTGTTGCTGAGAAGGGACAATCTTGGCAAAATTCAAGCAGATTGATTATTCTAAACCTTTAGAGGGGATGTGGCAGTTAATATAACATCTGTTTGTTCAGTGCTTCTTTTAATGTGAAAAACGTTTGCAGAAAACAACCAACAACACTACAAATTTTGTAGGAAATTCCTTGCTCATATAGTCAGGCTGGTCTCAAATTAGAATTGTAATTATACTGTGGTAAGGATTATTTATGCACCTTAATTTCATACCAAGTTCTATAAATCAAGTGAACCAGGAAGCAGCGGTCAGATGACTTAAACTTGCAAAAGTCCGATGTTGTGATAACATGGTGGTTGGGTGTGTCCGTTTAGCTCATTCTAAAATGTAATATGATAGTAGAAAAGGTTAATTTCTCAATTAACTGTGACCACCTTAACTTCTTCGCATAACATTAAAAAGCAGAGGCTGTTTTGGTGCAGTAAAAATGTAGGTGGTGCAGCTTGCTATTCAAATGTATATACGTGTAATTTACACGTGTATATTTTTACATACTGCTACAAACATTATGTTGAAAGCATTCATCGCTCAGTGAACATCAGGCTTACTCTTGCTTTCTGCCTGTTTTCAAACCGATCTCGTCCTCCCCTCAGCTTGTCCCAGGTGGACGCACGGTGCAGGCTGCTCCAAGGAATGTGACTGTGTTCAAGAACATTCCACTGGCTGTGACCCCAAAACAGGGAGCTGTTTCTGTAAGGCCGCATACCACGGCCCACAGTGTGAGCGAGGTATAAGCACTTCACAGAACACCAACTCATTTATTCAACGACAGCTTCAGCATGCAAGATACTAGGGATGAAAAGATTTGTTTCTTAGTTACATTTTATCCACACAGTAAACATTTTCAGGTGTGGTCAGGTATTGACCATTTCACAGCATCATGAAGATCCAAGTTTATTTCCTGGTGCAGTGCTATAGTTTCAGTAATACCAGTAGCGTAGAGGAAATACACTTGGAGGCATGAGGTTTCCTTCTAATGCAGTTTTCATATAATGTTCTGTCATGAAAAATCAGTTTAGGAAGTTGCTGTGATTGCTCATAGAGACAAGTTTACATTGATTACAGAATCAAGTCAATCACTGGTTAAGATCTTAATAACATGTCTGTCTAGAAGGAACTATACTACATAGTTTAACAAAATGTGTTTTGAGATTGTTTGTTGATCATCCCCCTTATTTGTGTGTGTGTTTATGTCACACTGCAGAATGTGAGCTTGGCTTCTTTGGTGCAGGCTGTGAGCAGCCATGTGACTGTCCAGGTGGAGGGTCATGTGACCCAAGGACGGGAGAATGCCGCCGGCAATGTCCTGCCGGCCTTCATGGACATATGTGTCAGCTGGGTGAGAGACACAAAACGCTGTTTTTATACATTATGCATCAAACTATAAATTAAAGTACAAGTTATTTATAAAAAGGAATGTAAGCGTAAGGAGCACAGCCAAATATATTTCAGGAGTAACTTTTGTTTCTTTCAAACATCTGGCATACATCCATAAGATATTTTTTTACCTTCCAAATATTTTAAACAAAGAGCTGGTAATGTATGATGTCCCCCATCAAAGCTACACTCCATATCGCCCTCATGTGGCCTTAACATTGATAGTAAAGGATCACTGTTGATACACTAAGCACGTGTGTGGATAATGTGAAGTGCGTGGGCTTGCACACTGATACATGTGTCTACACGTGTCATTGTTTTGCTGAGGCTTGCCCTTTCCCGATAAAGTATGTCAACACAAAGAGTTTCTGAATTTCTCCACCGTTGTCACAATCTTTTTAAATTTGCCTATAAATCTTCCTTTATTCTGTCCTTTCCTATTCATTCTCTGCTGCCTTTGATGGATTTAGTGGATTTACTAGGTGAAATAAACAAGGCGTTCTCTTGAATTCACCTGGTCAGTGCAGGTGTTCTTGTTATTACAAACTGTACAACCGAAAATATGAGTGTTCCCCCGCAGCAGGATGTCCCCTGGCTGTTTACTCTGCCGGTTGATGGAAAGTTCAACACTCTGTGTTGTGATCTGAAGTGATACTGAATATTGTTCAGGAGTCTCTGGTAAAAACATGACTTTGGGTCTCCATGGAGTGCAGAAAGATAACAGTGCAGAGTTACAGTATGTCAGCACTAATGCACAGTCCAGGCCTTGGCTTGCTGGGTTTGTCAAAGCCAAATTTAAAAAAAGTAATTCACTTTTTCTGGATTGTACTTAGCTAAAGTTGCAGGCCAGGTCATGACAGGGGTGATTTACTTCAGTTACTACTGCAGAGGCTATTGGCAGAGGCAGAATAAATAAACAGAAAATGATTAAGTATTTCTTTCTACAGTTCTCTTCTTTAACCCTTTTTCCAGTGTTGCACAATCCTGTGTGTGTTACACTCTGTTGTTTTTAATGTTCTAATGTATTGTGTGTTGCTAGCCTGCCCGTCATTGAGCTATGGCGAGAGCTGTCGTTCGACCTGTGACTGTGGAGGAGCCCCTTGTCATCCCGTAACCGGACAGTGTCTCTGTCCTGCTGGGAAGACTGGACACTCTTGTGACCAAGGTGCTTATATTTTTCATGTTTTCTTTATGTTCCATTGTCTTTTGGTATTTGTTTTTAAGGACATCTTAGCCTAATTATGTTGTGGTAGACTGTAGAAAATGTGACATGTGATTGAGATTGAGGACCTGTTTGAACTCATTGACATTGTGAGCCTCCACTATGATCTGTAGCCCACTGAACCACTAGGATGTTTGTGTTCATTTCGCCCCCTAAATTACTCAAGTGTAAGTGGCTTCAGGGCTTAACAAAGAAATAACTAACATAAGTGGATTATTACTCACTTAATCTGAAACATACTTGATGCTCCCCAGACTGCTCTGATGGATTCTGGGGGTTGAAGTGCCAGTCATATTGTCCGAAGTGTGAGAACAGAGGCTCCTGCAACAAGCAGACTGGTGCGTGTGACTGCAAACCAGGTTTCACAGGGAACCTCTGCCAAAATGGTGAGTTTTAATCTAATGTTGTCTTTTTAGGACTATTTTAACTATTAACTCAAATCATATAATTCTCAAATAAACAACAGTTGAATAATTGATTGAACTGAGCTTTTGCAATTGCTATGATCTGATTTGCTTTATATTTGGATTATTTTAGAGTTTAAAGCAGTCTATTTAGTTTCATTTAAATCAACAACAGTTTTTCAGTTCCTACAAACCAAGTTTCAGCCAAAGAGAGTGGATTACTCAAGCATGATCCTGTGAATGTCATGTTGTGTGCAGAGTGTCCCCCAGGTTTCCATGGACCAGGCTGTTTCATGCGCTGTTCATGCCACCCTGATGCCACTTGCGACCCACAGACTGGACGCTGCTTCTGCCCTCCTGGCAAAAGAGGCCATGACTGTGCAACATGTAAGTACTGTAATTATCCTATGACAATATGACATTATGCCAGACAGTAAACATATCGAAACCCTGTGCTTAACTTTGCAACATTTGCTGACCTTCACAGCATGTGAATCTGGTTACTGGGGCCAAGCCTGCCTTAGTAAATGCCAGTGCAAAGAAATCTCTGTGGGCTGTAACCCGGTCACCGGTCAGTGTGCGTGTGAGGCTGGCTTTACTGGAGACCACTGTGAAAAGAGTAAGTAAACTCCTTGTCAAAAGATACAGTATAATTTAGTAAACACTGCCACCTAGGGGTCACTTTTAGCATCTTTTGAGCACATTTACAGTATTGAAAGTCATTTCCTGGATATTTTATTGCATCACAACTTATTTTATTCCAGTGATTTTCTTCATATAAAGCTCCCGCAGTTCTGGGATATACCTCCAAGAGCTATATTTAGTACCAAACATAACACAAGACTGTATTCCCAATGAACTGAGACTGACATTTTTTGGCGCCTGAATTTGGTTAAAAGATTAAGATTTAAGATATTGTTTTGCTAACTCTCTCTGCCTCCCTCATATGTTCACTGTTAGAGTGCGCGGATGGCAATTATGGGCAGGGGTGTGCCCAGCAGTGCCAGTGTCAGAATGGAGCACTCTGCGACCATGTGAGCGGAGCCTGCACATGTTTGCCTGGACATACCGGCACTCACTGTGAAAAAAGTAAGAATTTTTTTGTTTCTGATCAGTGAATGTTGTACTATTCCTGATGGTATTTATGAGAAATGTGTAGTGATCCAAAACCTGTTTGGAGTTGTTTCAACTTTAAAGCAATCACAAAAAATGTTATTAAATGGTTTTTCAGCCAAATGATTAATCTCTATTTCTTATGGGGCTTAAGTGATGTAACCGGGAAAGGTAAGACAGGTCTAGCTTGGAGTCATTAGCTGAACCCACATGTGTTTGTAGATTACTGTACAACTAATGGATAGTAATAGATTCCAATGTGACGTAGCATTGCAGTCTAAACATCAGATAGATTTGTTGTTCTAGGGTAAGGCCAGCTAAAGATGACCTAGTAGCGAAACCTACAGGAACTAGGGGAAAGACAGAAACATAAAAGAGACCAAAAGATGTTATCTTTCAGATTTGGCGTTGGCATTCGACGTGTTCACATGTTGTGTGCTGGCACAGTATCTCCACGGCCAGACTCAATAAACCATGCAATATTAAGTCTTCATGAGTCTCTTCTTCACTTTTTCACACTTGAACCTGGCTCATAATATTTCTTCAACACTCTGAATGTAGAAAATAATCATCATTAATTAATTAATCATTAATTGATGATAAAATCATCATTAGTTCAATTTTATTTATATTGCACCAATTCACAACAAAACATATCTCACTGCACTATTCATATAGAGCAGACCATACTGTTTGTATATTATTAACAGAGACCCAGCAATTCCCACCATGAGCAAGCACCTGGCGACAGAGGCATGGAAAAACTCCCTTTTAGGAGGTAGGGGAGAAGCAGCCAACACAATATACACACAGAAATACAAAAATAGTAAAAACGGTAGTGAAACAGACAGAAAATGAATAATGGTACTAATAATTGTATTATATTGGTAATATTAATGATAATAATAATAGGATTTATGATAACAATTGTATCCACATTGTAACCACAGATCCAGACTCCATGCATTAATGGGATAAGATAGCATACAGATGGAGAAGGAGAGGAGGAGAGAGGAGCTCAGTGCATCATGGGGAGTCCCCCTGGCGGTCCAGGCCTATTACAGCATAACTAAGGGATGGTTCGTATCGCTTTATTAAAGAGAAGCCTACTCGTAATGTAGAGATGGTGTCTGCCTCTCGAACCCAAACTGGGAACTGAGTAGGGCTAGTTGCAGCCCTAAATTTCCTATTCAATATTATTTATATTAAAATCAATCTGGATTGTAGACTAAATTTATTAATTATTTATTTATTAATTTTAATTTAGAATTTAAGCTGTGGCATCTCAAGGTTTCAATACCTACTTAAGTTTCATTTTCTTGTTAAACTATCCACACCAACCTTGCTGAGCTTTGAAAGATGTGGGGCAAGTGTGTCAGAAGATTTGGCTAACCTAGTCCACACTGAAGGCAATACTGCTCCATGACAGGTGACCCTACTAGTCTTTATCTCTTAATACACTAGAGGGCACTGCAGGACATTCTTCTGATTTTCTCACCTCTCCACAGTTTCAGTGAATCATCACACAGATTCAATGAATCATCAGCTTGTCCATGTCCTAAGCAAAACCATTTTAAAACCCCACCAAGATATAATTTGTATTAGTCATTCTGGGCTAGATGGACTGTAATTCATGGACTGCAGAGTCTGTTTCAAGCATCCTGCCATACCAAACCAGATCCATGTATCTAATATTCTTCTCATCATTGGGATATTTTTTTTACTAAACTGCAAGAGATCCAGTCCAAGAGTCTTAACAATGTAATATATTTGTTCTTGATTATAGTCTTGTGACTTGAAGTGGCCTTGTGTTATTACAAAGTGTAAGATTTAGTGTAAGTGTACTACCAGGGCCAGAAATTCATACCACCTCTGTAGCACAGGAAGCATCGTAAATCATGGCCGTGTCACACTAGAACAGAGCTTCACTTCCCCAGTCATAACAGTCTAATGGCTTCAGACGCAGACGTCACTCTGATTGGACGTTGCTGTGGAAATAGGACCATCGGTCTGACCAGATTCTGTTTTCTGAAGGCCTTTTCTCCTCAGACAGAGGTGTCCAGTTTCTCAGTCTTCTGCTGGGCCTCTTCCTTCAGGAGAAGTCAGGAAGAGGCCTGTGCTGTGAGAAGGACCAGATCTCTCTAGTTCATTTGTTTCACAGAATTCAAACAGAAAGAGATGACTTCTCGCTTTTTTTTAGTGTTTGAGCCTACGTGGGCGATTTCATAATGTTATTCATGGAAAGAGCTGGTTCTACGAGACTCAGAAAGCTTGTTACTATGGCACATGCATAGTTTCACTGAGCATTCTTGTGAACCTGAGGCTGACGCTAAACATTTTGTTAAAGGAAACAAGACCACTTCTTCAATTAACACAGATGGTTTCTAGTCCGCAGCTTTGATGTTTGCATCAAAATAGTTGCAGTAAAAAAGAACTCTGGTTCAACTGGCATCAAACATCCGCATTATTGTTGAAGAAACTGGGTTGTTTTGTTGTGATTGTGTTGACCTCTTTCAGTGTATCGACCCTGAATGGCACCAGGAAGTTCTATTCTATATTCTCTCTGTCCGCTCTATTTCTGTGGTCTGCTCTCGCCCGGCTGTGTGGTCCCTGGACCTGCTTTACGGGCTGACAGCAGTGGCTCTTACACAACCAGGGATCTGGAAATAATCCTCCTGTCTTAAAGAGCTCATTTAGTCTAGAGATGGAGTTGTTCTGAGATGGCACAGTGTGTGCGTGCGTGTGCGTTTGTGTGTAGTGTGGACCGAATCCTCTTTGCTGACCTATAAACAAAGACACAGAGGGAAGAGTCTTTACATGCAAACACTTGTAGACACTGTGCTTATATCAGAAGACAGATCTGTGGTTAATATGGAATCCAGTCGCCCCCTGCTGGTATAAACAAACAATAAACTTGCTATTCAGAAGTGTCAGTGTATGCCCTGAATATTTAACATAGACTTTGTGTGCTGTGCTGTGTCTCCTTCATTTGAAAAGGAAGGGAAGTGTTTAAACATGTTTAGGGGAAAACTGTGTCTGGTATAAAGACCTCATTAAAAGGGGACATCACTTATCTGAGATGCTGATTTTTTAACATCATAGCTGCGTTGAGCCCCCTTTTCATTGGTAGATAAATGATACTTCAGAGTAACATTTGTGCAGCATTCTCCTGCAGAACAGAAAGATGTTGCCATGGTGTCAGCAATTGCTGATAATAATAATAAACAACTGACAATTAACCAGTGATTTTGCTACAGCACTACCACAGACCTAATGTACAGCTGGGTTTAAAATGACAGCATCCTCAGTGGGCTGCCTTTAATAACATCGCAGGCTAACCACTACAGAGGCAGGCAAAGACGTCATGCTGTCAGCGTGGGAACACAGGGATGGCCATGCCAGAAACTGCTGAGCAGGAAGGATACTTTTCCCAATTTGAGGACTCGAGGCAGAAAAAGGAGGAGTGGACAGCATCATCAATTGGAGCAGGAGAAGGAATGTATGATGCATTAACTGTAGGGAAACACCCTGAGTACTGTGGCGTTTAGAATACACAAAACCACCAAGTTACACATTTCTGTTGCCCTCTCAATTTGTGGCTTCCTTTGGTAACACGGTCCACTGCTTTCCTTACAGATAGATGAGGTAGTATATAAATGAAATGTAAAACTGCTGGCCGCCGAGATAATTGGGACAGACTCTACCCAAACCCTCACCAGGCTCAGATGCTCTCACATGTTACTGCAACAGAAAACAGAAGAGGGCACTCGAAGAAAGAAATGTCTTCAACGGCTGTCAATCACTCAAACTCTGGCATTGTTCCTATAAATAAACGACCAGAATGAGAGAACATTTTGTTTTGCGAGATGCAGCTAAAATTCTTGAGTTGGGATGTGATCTCCTCAATGACAAATTGAGCGATCAAAAATAGGCTGTGAATAAACAAAGTCATTCTTTCCTGCTCTGGTGAAGTCATGCTAACAGACAATATTTACATCCCAGTAGTGGAAGGGCTCATTCATCCCACTGCCTCTGGCCAGGTTCTTGTGGATGGGAGGCACTATGTTTACCAAACTCTCTGAGTGTCAATTGACTCTACACACACTTTAAACAATCTCTCTGGCTCTCCTTGAGAATAGGAAACAGACTGTTAAACTGGCATCTCCTTGCATCAGCAGCAATACTGTAGGTATGTGTGTGCATGTGCTGGAGGGCAGGGGGGCACAGTAACCTGGCTTTGTTTTGCCATGTATTGGTTGGGCTCAGCAGGTGCTCTAATTACCAGTTCTATGTGCCCCCTCTACCCCCAAAAAGGGATTGGCCTCCAAGCCGCCGTCTACTTTGATGTGGCCCAGATCCACCACACATGTGGGACATGAGCTCACTTAACGAACGCAGACCCTCTGCAAATGAACAGCCGCAGCGTGGTACTGCAATTTGATATTGGTATTTTCAGTAGGTGGTAAGACAGAGAGGGAAAGTAGGAGGAGGAGAAGCGAGTGGGAGATGGGGAAGGAGAGAGAAAGAACTAAAAAAAAAAAAACAAAGTTGGCATTTAAACCTTTTCCTCTCCTTTTTTTATGAAGCTGCTAGTTCTAACCAGTCGGATGTTTTATCTTGGCCCACAGTGTGCCCGGACGGCTTTTACGGTCTTGACTGTGGCCACATGTGCGAGTGCAGGAACGGTGCCCGCTGCCACCACATCACAGGAGCCTGCCTATGCACCGCCGGCTGGGCAGGACCACACTGCATTCTGGGTAATGGAAGCCACATCATTAAAACGGGGTGTGAGGGAGGCCCTCACTGCATCCCATCACGACATTCTATCCTTAAGCACAACTATGATGTGTTGGTGAACAATTATCTTCTATAATTGACATTGCCAATTACTTTTTTAGGGATGGGTAAGGGTGGAGAAAGGAGGGAGGACAAGAGTGCCCTTTGACATACATGGTTTAATTGAGGTCTATTCTGGATAAATGCACCCACGTGTTTACAGCGATTAGGAGAGGGAGAACATAACTCGAGGGACTCTTTAGTAGCTAACCAATCAGTGTTCTCATGCTAAAGTTTCTTGAGGATTTCATGCCGTTGTTTTAATGAATCCAGTGAAATGCCCACTAAAGTTCTTAGTCTGTCATTCTGCAGGCTTATTCAAGACTCTTTCCTCTTGCCACAGCCATTTTGTGGTCCTAACTACCAGAGCCAGAGTCAGCAGAAAGCCACTAGCATGACTTAATTATGCATCTCTGTCATTAGCGCATTTCCCTCTTTCTTAGACTCCAAATGTCATCTTGGACTTTGATCACTGAGGCGACGTTTACAAGATATGGGCTGAAAACTGTAATGTCTCAAAATGTCCTTTAGCCCTCTAGTCTCATACATGTGATGCAAATATAGCTGCAGTTGCATTTTAAGTTAATTCTGTATGTTTTTTGTGTGTGTGTGTATTTTATGTTATCATGTGTGTGTTTGCCTACATGTGTGTGTGTGTGTGTGTGTGTGTGGTTTACATTGGTAGGATGCCCAGAGGGTCATTTTGGGGAGCAGTGCAGTCAGACCTGTGAGTGTCAGAACGGAGCCAGGTGTGACCACGTCACCGGGCGCTGCAGCTGTGCGGCTGGGTGGACCGGAGTCAGCTGCCAACTGCGTGAGTAGCTCATCACTCAGCATGACAAACCATGTCAAATGTTTTCCTGCTATTTTCTTAAAAGACAGTACCAGTGAGTTTGCATGCTTTACCTCATTTACTGCTAATTACTCATTCTTAACATCAGGCCGCTGTGTTTTGGAAATTTGGATGTATTCTGTCTGCCATTGCAGGCATCCAGTGGTTTTCATTCACTTTTGTGCAATATGAAAATCAGTAGGCAGATTCTTAAAACTTGTTTGACTTGTGTTTTCCATCTCAGTGAGTTTTTGACAAACATTATGGACATTAAAACTTGCTCAAGTTGTGTGAACTGTAACATCAAGTTGGTGTTACAGTTCACACAACTTGAGCAAGTTTTAAAGAGTCTCATAGTTTTATATTGTGCAGAAATGAATGGATAACAATGGCTGCCTGGAACTGGAGCCATGGTTTGTTAACACTTTGATGGTCCTTTAAAGGCACTATTCAAATCATCATTTCAGAAGTTGAAATTCCAAAAACACACACCTAAGGAGTCAATATATTAATGATAATTGCAGATACAAGCTTACTTACATTTATTTCTTAGTGAAAAGCTTAAATATTTATAAGTACATGTGAAGTAGACAGTGTGTGTGGGCTGCTCCCTCCCATTTCAGCTGTCTTGTATGGACATGACCTTTGGGTACTGAGATAGAGATATGGACACATAGTACACACTGTTGGATTGGTTCCTGTAATCAATGAGTCACATTAATACATAACCTTAGTATTAGATTAACCTTTTGTATACTTGTCTACATTATTTCTTAATCTAAAAACCCATTCATGTCATTAATTATAAACTACACTGTATTGTGTTATGTGTGCGTGGGTTCAGCGTGTCCTCCAGGACAATACGGGGAACACTGTTTTGGCCAATGCTTGTGTCAAAACGGGGGCTTTTGTGATAGCATCACTGGCCAGTGCTCCTGCCCTCCCGGCTGGACTGGAGATGCCTGTGAGTTAGGTGAGTCCTACAGTGTTACTTTGTAAGGAAACAAAGGAAGACACATGTGATGATTAAACTTCCTTTTCTTGATTCAACATTTTGTCCACCTGTCCCTGTCACAATTCAATATCTGAGTAAAATGAAACTAGATGAATAATTAATCAAACATAACTTTCATCTGAGGTTTTCCTTTCCCTCTTTCCTAGAGTGTGAGGAAGGACGTTATGGAGAAAACTGCACAAAGGCCTGCAGCTGTACGAGTGGAGGGAGATGTGACAGAGTGACTGGAAGATGTGTGTGTCTGCCTGGTTGGATAGGAGAGCTCTGCCATTCAGGTGACATCCTAAACTTCAAATCAGCACTGCTGCATTACAGCATATCCGTATTATTGAGCTTTTTTTTTGTTTGTTTTTGATTAGTATAGTACACACAATATCAACTGTTTTTCACATGTGCTATTCAGATATGTAAATGTGTAACCAACTGCTAACTGCTGATGTGTCTTAAAGAACATGAGAGAAGAGATTGTAGCTTTCTCTCAGGTTGCATCTGTACTGCATTTGCGAACATTTCTGTATAACAGCAGCAAAATAAAGCGAAGGTTTACTTTCTCCTGGCATCATAAAATGTCCTTTGTCAAAACAGTTTGTGCAATTAGCCTTGGGAAAATAAGCACTAAAGAAGTGAACATTTAAATTGTTTTGTTCTCACATCTAATGGTGTGCGCTGAACTCGAATGCATTTGTGTTTCGTCTGAAGCTTGTTCTAAAGGATTCTTTGGCGAGGGCTGTGAACAGAGGTGTGACTGTGTCCACAGTATGAGTTGCCACCATGCGACGGGCCGCTGCGAGTGTGAGCCAGGCTGGAGAGGAGCCAGGTGTGACAAACGTGAGTGTGTATAGGATGGAGGCAATTGTAACGGAACGAACCTGACAGTAGAGGAGCTTTGAACACATGTGGGTAAAGTGACTATGTGTGTGCTTGCGTGTGTATGTCGACTCCCAGCCTGCCTTCCAGGGTCCTACGGTGCTTCTTGTGCCCAAGGCTGTCAGTGCCAGGCCGGGGTCTCCTGTCACCATGAGACGGGGAGTTGCGGGTGCCCAGCTGGACTCACAGGGCCTGGCTGCGAGAAACGTAAGAACCTATCTCAAAGGAAAGGAAATAAAACTTTACTGCACAAATATATTTGTATTTTGTAGCATTTTTATTTGCTCATTTGCATAAGGCAAACTAAATACTCTGGGAATATTGTATTTCACAAATGACCCTTATGCATAGCTGTAATTAAGTGAGCCTTGGCACATGGCTTATATCACTGTCATGCATTTAAAACCATTTGGCTCACATATGTGCTTTGTTGATAGAAGCACTGTCACCCTGAAACACACCACTCCCATCAGGAAGGAAAAGCATCATGGGAGTGCAGTGATCACCAAGAATCATTCTGTTAATACTGATTAAACTTTCTTCCCCTCCCCGTCCTCCTGGGAAAGATTACCATTTATTCCATTCCAGGAAATGCACTCTACACCGGCACTAAACCCTCACTGTCACAGGACTTTATGCTAATGTTTCATTATTTAGACCATATCCTTCAGGACTGTATACGAGCAGCTTTTGCCTTTACCCCACCACCCCCACCCCACCTCAGTTCCCTTCCTCTCCTCACACACTCCCCAGACATCTGATAAATGTTACACACCAGTTGCCAAGTAAAACAGAAGGCATTGTTTTTGTCTCCTCGGCGGCGGATAAGGGCCTTTGGAAGGCAGACATGCATAATGACAACGCCGTAATTGCCTCTTTAGTCTGGACTCCTTTCTTATCTGTCCCCCACGCTGCCTGCTGCTGCCTGACTGAGGAGCTGAGTGCTGCGGTCTCTCCCGAAAACATGTTCGGATCACAGATTCATCTTGCTCGCTATGACTGATTGTCTGTGGACTCCATTCATTATTGTGATGAGGGTATATGTACGTATGCAGAGCGGGTGTGTGAAAGAATGTCCCTCTGCATTCATCCTGCTTCGGGCACCAGGGAAAGTTGTTGGGAGTTGTTTTGGTTATGTTGCCAGTCAATACTGAATGTACCAGTATGTTCTGAGAAAGGAAAGGGAAATGGCAGATGTCTTTGTTCCCGCAAACTACTGAATGTGTGCATGTTTAAGGGCCTATCTGTTGTAGTAATTTAATCATTGTATTCATTTTTAATTGGCTGTGCAATGTAATGATTTAACATCATGTTGGAGCATTTCTGAGCATTCATTCATGAAGAGACAATATCTGAAAGCTGTAAATACATTTATGAAGTTTGCTTCTTTTTCATTTTACCAGTATAGCATCTGTATCCAAAAGCACTGCACATTGCCTGCATTGGTTTACATTTTAACACCTGATAACTAACTTGGGTAATTTCCTATAGTAACTGAATTATCTTCTCTATATAAATAAAATTTAAATGAAGGATTAATAGGGTCAACTAAATCCAATATTTTGCCTATAGCTCAAAAATCTTGCTTTTGATATCCAGCCATTTTATTTACCTAAGTGTTTGTATTATTAACAACATTTTCCACAAGTGCTTCAAAAATTACACTTGCATTTCACTTGATATTTAGAAGGATCTTTCCCCCTTATCAGTTAAGCTTAAATGTCAACTGCTGATTTGCATCACCACTCACCTACATGATTTTACACAGAAAGACAATTTTATATTTGTTATCTATAGTTTTTACATCAGAAACATTTATATCACCAACATAACATTTACACTTTGAAAGAAGACAATGTGATGAAGTGCCCTGAAGTGTGCCCTTTCAGTGGAGAAAATGTGATGTAGTGGCATATAAGTTAACCCTAAATGCTAGAAGATGTGTTGGTCTCTACGAGCCTCTAAATGGTTAAATACTTAATACTTCCTTGTGTTTTTTTTCAGAGGTGTAGTAGTCATACCTTAAATCTGAGTCACATAATCAAACTGTTTTAATCTTAACCAGGGTTTGAACTGTTATACCATAAATGCATCCTGACTTTCTGCGTGCTGGTGTCCCACCACTGTTTACAAGCTGTGGAAACAAGTTTAATAATTTGACAAATTCATGATTCAAAATCATTAATTTGCATATAGGTCATTTTTGACCCACATATAGGAAGAGTGTAGGTTCCAATGACCTATGCATCCAGGGGTTAATTTTCCATGCAAATCATATGACCACTTCTTTCTAGATTTGACAAATACTCCCACTGTTATGTATATGTGACATTTTTCTGGATGTGTCATCTTAGCCTGTCCTGCTGGCATGTTCGGCCAGAACTGCACCCAGCTGTGCCAATGTTCAGGAGACCAAGAGCAATGCCATCCTGTGACGGGGAAATGTAGCTGTTTACCTGGTTACTACGGGGCACACTGTAAGCTACGTAAGTATACTATTGATTTTCTACTTTCAGTGTGGACCAATACGAGGCATGTGTTAATAAGCCTTAAGTTAAAAAAGGAGTTGGGTGGAATGAATGTGGAAGCAGGGTATATTTTTCCTTCTAACCTGTCTGCTGTCTCCTAAAGTAATATAAAATCTCAATCAAATAACGCAACCTTTACTTCTTGTCGCCATGGTTTGTCTCCAGGATGTCGTGCAGGTACTTTTGGGCCGAACTGCAAGTCCAGATGCAGCTGCATCAATGGTGGTCGCTGTGACTTCAGGACTGGAGCTTGCTATTGTCCTCCTGGCTTCATTGGAGCTGACTGCAGCTCAAGTAAGTCAAGAAACCTTGCACCTGTTTGTAATCCAGAATGAAAAAGAATCTTGTCTTTCTGCACCCTTTTATTGTCATTATTTGAAGTCAGTGTTATAGAGATGTTTGTCATTTCAGCCTCCATGTTGTATTGGAAAATTCTGGTCTACCACTATGAGCCAACCCACGAGGCCTATGAAATGCAGAAATTTTTCATCATAACTTTTTGATTTGTGAATGAAGACTGTTTTTTTTCTGCAGGTTGTCCGAGTAGGTACTATGGGAAGGACTGTGCTAAGCTGTGCTCCTGTGGGCAAGGAGGGCAGTGCCACCCAGCAACTGGGAAGTGTATATGTACCCCTGGTTGGATGGGACAGTCCTGTCAACAAGGTAACGCTAAACTCATGTCTTTGATTGTTTGTTTTGATTAATAGTATTTTTGTTTTATTTTTTACTTTTGAACTCATTTGCAAATATCTTTCTTTAGTAATTATCACCACTGCACATCTTGACTCCTGTAAATATTTTGTGTCTATACCACACTAAAATTGATCATAATAAAATTATTCACACTGGCATAACATTAAACTTTCAAAATGTTTAAGGGCGTAATAAACAACAAAGACTGGTGTGTCATAGCTCTCCAGCATGAGCTAATTAAATAAAATGCAGTTTGGTTGGTATATTGGTTTAAGACTACCGTACAGTAAAAAGGATGCATATTGACGCTTTTAAATTTCAGTCAAGAAGAAATTACTATATACTAAATTACAAGAGCTAATTCATTGTTTAACTTTGAACACAGATATCAAACAAGGTTTGGATTGAGCCTGTTATCTTTTATCTTTCTCTTGAGTATACAAAGAATCACCACTGAGGCTGAAATGCATCAGTGGCAACCACTGGCCCTAATGAGTTCCTCAGAAATAGCAAGACTAACTGGAAAGTGAGAAACAACCACTAAAATGAGGGTGCATTTTCCAACATTTTTCACTGTATATTTAAGTAACAAATTCTCCATTTCCTCAGTGTGAGGCCTCTGATGTTAACAGGGCTGTTTTCCCGGGAAACAGAGGCATAGTTGGGTTTTCTTAATCTCTCCCTTTATCAGCAATTCAGCTGAATTGTGAGCGGGGATTTCCATCTCAGCTTGCGCCAAATGTTCTCTTCTTTAGCATCCTGCATGTACTTGGACATACCACCTCTTAAGTTCCTCTTGTTGAATGTTTACAGAAACCTATAAGTAGCTCGTTCTCTGTGTTCCGTGTCGCTGGATTTGGCAAGGAAGCAAATAAATAAACAGGGAAATCAAAGACGGCTCGCTTATTGTTTTCCCAATCTAAATTACCCAGAGAAACATGATTATTCTTTTATATCAGTGCCAAATTAGACTACTTTGCCATCTCTTTAATGAACTGTTGCTTAAATAAACATGTATGTGGTCGGTGCAATCTTGTATATGTGTGTGTGTATGTGAAAGAGACAGATAGACAGAGCACATGCTGTTCACTACTTGTTGTCTGTGTTACACCCCTTGGTGTTATTGCTGAGTAGAACAGACGGGCCTGCAGTGCTCGTCTTGTCCTGATATTCACTGAATGTTTCTCCAGCTTGTCCTAGGGGGCGCTACGGCCTGCAGTGCAGAAACACATGCAGCTGTCAGAATGGGGGACTGTGTGACCCTGTTCAAGGGTCTTGCAAGTGTGGAGTGGGCTGGACTGGACCCCACTGTGACACAGGTATCTCTTTACTGGCAGTAGACAAAACAGAAAATAATCAGAACCAAACAAAATGGTTTTCTGTTCATGGGAAATCGAAAACAACAACAACAACAGATAACAAAACTGGTTGAGAAAACTCTTCTAAACATTGGAGTAGTTTACTTCTCACTATCAGATGATCCACTTATATTCCTACAGTTGGTCTTCTGTTTTATGTTATTGCTGACTTTTATAGCTAAAAAATGGTTATAATAGGTAATCAGCCAGAGATGCTCATGTTTCTTATCTAGTCCAGTCAAGTCTCGAGTCTCTAAGCGAGAGTCAAAGTAAGTCAAGTCTATCTATAAGGAATTCTGTAACCTGTGGCCCAATCACGTAGCCTAATGTTCAATACATCTACCACTAATGACAGCTGAAAAACTACTGTAAGTCAACACATCCTCCAGACTCTTAAACCAGTGTAACGTTATAACTAAATAAAATTGTAACGTTACATGAGCAACAATAAACCTGTAATCTGTTTGACGAAAATAATTACGTTAACGTTACGACCCATAGGTCGTAGCTAAAGCCAGAAGCAAGCTAATGTTAGATGGCCAATGCTGAGCTAAACATGTTGACTAACCTCAGGTTACTAACTATTTTCCATTCAGCACTTCTTTTTTTGGGTCTTGTTTTATGAAGTTTTAAAGCCAAAGCTTATGATGAACACAGCACCTGCCGGTGTGGTCAACATGTTTGTTGTCCTCTCTCACGTGTGGCCGTGCTCAGCAGATACGTAGGTAGGTTATAGGTCACGCAGGGAGGGGATTAACAGCAATCTCACGAGTCCCGCACCTCAAGTCCGATTCAAGTCTGAAGTCATTGTGTGCACGATCACAGTTTGTTTAAAATGTTTTAATTGAGAATGTACAACTGTGTTTGTGTGTGTGTTTGTGTGTGTGTGTGTGTGTGTGTGTGCAGGCTGCTCACAGGGAAAATATGGGCTTGACTGTGCACAAGACTGTTCATGCCTCAACAATGGGACCTGTGACCGCTTTACTGGCACCTGCAGCTGTACTGCTGGATACTATGGCCACTCCTGTCAACACAGTATGCAAACTCCTACTTATAATACAAAATGAAACTTGATGATAAGGTTACCAGTGGCCTCACTGACACCTCTGTTAAAGCTCTCCTGGTGAAATAGATCTGTGTGACAGTCATGTGTGATGCAACATGACCGTTTTCCACCATAACCTAAGTTCAGTGTCTCGTGTCTCTCTTAGGATGCCCATCTGGGTTCTTTGGAGTAAACTGTGCCCACACATGTGACTGCAAAGTGGGGCAGACATGTGACCATGTGACAGGCCAATGTGTGTGTCCACCAGGCTACTATGGCCCACAATGCCAAAGATGTGAGTGTATATGGCTATCTAAAGATTAATTGTTAAGTTAAGTCGATAACAGTACATGTTAAAATAAACAGTGGGCTGCCAGAAGGGCAAGGTGGGTCAAAAAATACTGAATGTAAAATAAAAATACAAATGTAAAGTTACAGTCCCTTTAAAAGAGAGAAGATATCTCTTCTTTCAAGTACTGTATATTTTTTTGAGATAGTTACAGGTAAGCAAGTCACAAGCTTCTGCACATTATTAAACAGCCGCCAGATACGAGCATACATGAATAAGAGATAAAAAAAGAGTTGTGTGGTATGGAGTTGTTCTAGCATGCAGACAGACAGGCTAGTAGGTAGGTGGGCTGAAGAGCAAGCTGGTTATTTGATGGGAGACAGGTGTTTCCCGACTGCTTAATGCATTCCTGTTACATCCTCGTGCCCTCCTGCCTGCTTGCAGGGCTCTTAGCCGCAGTGTGAGCGCCTAAATGGCCACTTCACTCCCAGCAGGAGATATGACTGAGCATCGCAGAGCAGCTCTAAGGCTCTATCTGTGTGTGTGTGTGAGAGAGAGAGAGAGAAATGTGGAGGCACATTATCTTATCAGTAAAGGCACTTCTGTCTTCTTAACTATTTACAGTGCACTTGTGTATTTATTTTTATGCCTTAATTATGGTGTGCACAGTCACATGCGTGTGGTCCTGCATTTTAACATGTAGGAGACCTAAAAGTGATTATGCGTTTCTCATCTTCACATTCCAAAGGTCTATACCGTATTTAACTTTCTGGGACATTGTCCTGTTTATTAACTCTGGATTACAGAAAGGTTCATGTTAGATAATGCTACATGCCTATATGCACATAAATGCACAGTATGTCATTTTCTGCTGCTAGGGGTATCTCACATCAAAACAATAACTTAATATGTAGTTTGATGAAGTCGTAAAGTAACATGGGATCTTGGGAGTTGTTGTCTTCACCACCATTGCCTTTGTTACAGTCAGCTTCTCCAGAGTTTTTTAACGGGAGCCAAATTATCTGCAGAGAGATAAAATGGACCAGGTGAATAAAACCTGTAAAAACACTGAATGAGGCAGTTTAACATTAAAAATCAGTGTTTCTCTGACGCAGCCAGCCATAACTGCTGCTAACATTTGGTGAGCTTGTTTCTCTGATAACTTCTGATAAGATCTAGACATCCGATGACTAACATCCTTCATCTGGTTTAATTATATAGTAAAAAAGATATGAAAAATGTATCCAAAACATAATTGCTAAATGCTGATGCGAGTGCATGCGGGATATGACACCTCCGACAGGCGACAAAATGAAACACACCATTATCTTGATTAAAATTACAGATTTATTTGGGTTTGAAAATTGTTGGAAACATTTGGGATAATGTAAGTACACAACTCAAGAAAAAAAAAGTAATTTTAAACATTTAATGCAACAAAAGTTACATTTAATATCTTTGACATTTTCTAAATGTAAATTTTGATACTTTGTACATGCACAGGTAGATTTTAGTGCAACCCCTACCTTTCCCAATCTAAAAGTAAGTTCACCAATGAGCCAAGTGTAGTATTTAGGAATGTGGGTTGTGTAATTAATGAAGACAATGAAAGTGCACGCAATATATGTGTGTCTATGTTTGTTTGTAGGGTGTGAAGCTGGCAGGTTTGGATTGCGCTGTGGACTGTCATGTGACTGTGTTGGTGGGGTCCCGTGTGACCCATCGACTGGTCGGTGCCTCTGTCCCCCAGGAAGGACAGGACAGAGATGTGAAAAAGGTAGACGTCACCTTGAGGAACCTGTTAACATGACTAAAATAAATCTAAAATAGATGTAAAAATTTTATTAGCATACATAAGAAAACACCCACTCTTTCCAGGTGTGTCTGTCATGCAGAAACTCTTTCCTTTAAAAAAACTCTTGAGCGTCTTCTGCTTTCCGCTCTATCTCAGACTGTGGTGGAGACCGTTTTGGTCCTGACTGCTCCCTGCCGTGCCAGTGTTCCCACAGGACCCGCTGTGATGGGCTGAGTGGGCAATGTCTGTGCCCACTCACCTGGTTGGGCCCCACCTGTAGTGAAGGTAAACCTAAGCTCCCATTGCCACACACACAAACACACACACACAGCTGGGGTTGTCAAGCTAAAGCAAAACGGACACATACACACCCCCACACACACACGGGCTGTAAAGCTGAACCAGCTTTAGTGAAATACTGTGTCATGAAGTGCGAGAGGCTGAGCCCCATCACTCTGTGTGTCACCCTGTCTCCCTCAATAGCTACTCCTGTCTCCTGACAGTTATTTTAATCTGCACCCAGCATGGAGCCAGGCTTGAGGCTGTCTTCGTTTTACCTCCTCAAAGCCAAGCACGCGGGAGGCTACGTACCAGTTACTTCTCCTCCAAAAACCCCAGCACATTTGCTTTTGATTTTCAAATAGTGCTGATGTATTCTTGCTTTTTTTCTCTTCTCTCTTTTCAGCAGTGCTACACCAAAGCCCAGGACCGTTGAACTTTTCTGTGTCCCAAAGAAAGAGAAGAGCAGGCAGCAAAACCACATAACCCAAGCAGAGGTGCAAACTCCTGACTGGGCGTTCAAACATGGGGCTTGGCTCTGTGAAGCATTACTCAGATCATCTTAAAGGTGATGTTAGTAATGCTATGTTTTTGTTAAACTGGTACTCAGCTGTCAGAAACTGGCACTCCATCACTGAGTCTGGAGCTCGCGATAATCATCCAGTGGACCTGGCATGTGAGGGGGCCTCAAAAGACTAAAACCTATCCCAGGGTTACACAGACACGAATACCGGCATCACATTTGTGACTGTTGCTGATTGAAAGGGGTTAATTTGCTTTCCAGTTTGACATTTAATGAGTTGTTAAGGGTTCAGTTTCTTTCTTTGGGGCATTTGAGCAAGACACGTGACTAAATCTGACACTTTCTTGTCACTAGAGAGCCTTTACAGCCACTACCGACATTTATTTTTTCTACGTGTGTCCACAAAAAAACCTAATGGTTTGCATAAAAGAATGCCATGCATATTTCTGGTGAAAATTAAATGGCTCTAAAACAGATTTAGAAATATATGGGTGACTTATTTTCTTATTCTAAAAACTAAAACACCATGAGAGCTACAAAAATATGGTCCAGTAGAAGAGCTGTGAATGTTTCATAATAAAAGTACACTGCTTTACGTTCGATATGGTTTTTCTAATGTTTAGCTTCAGTTAAATTACATAAAATTACATCAGAAATCCAGAATCTATGAACCAAAATGCTCTATTTCAAAAGTATATTTGCTAGACACAAGATGTCTCCTGCTGGAGGTTTTAGGTTTCCACACTATACTTGTGTATGTCGCATATTGGATTGCAGTTGGCTTCCAAATTACTTGTGATTTCACGAAATCCTGCTCGTACGTGCACGTCTTAAACTGAGATTTAAGGTGAGCAGTGGATGAATGTGGACACAGCCTTCTAAAGTCAAACTCTGAACACTCTTGTCATCTGTCTGCACAGTGAAGGTCAAACATCCAAGATGCAAAACACACTTTTAGGGTGAAGGTTAGACTTTAATATAAAGAATCAAACTCAATCTAGTTGGTGAATTTTTTCTTTTTTTTGCAAAACATATTTTCAGTTTTGTAGCTGCATACAAATATCGGAGGTTTAAAATGCATATTTTTTGTCTTAATCTAAATCCAGCACATATGATCCTCATCATTATGTGGTTCTCTTCCATCATAGTGGCCCACAAAACACAGAAATGGCTTCCTGTCTATGTAGAGAGGTAATATTATTACTTACATATTTGTTATGTGTTGTCTCAGATCATTAGATCACAGAGTATTCTAAACAGATTTTTTTTTTAGACTCTTTCACAAGAATGGACTTATGCTTACCTTAACTTATTTTATTGCCCATACACCTACCTTTATAAATGTATGTGACGATATTGTTTGTCCATAAGTTATTTTAACATGGCTCATGGAATCTGAATATAACATAAACAGGCTTCATTCACCAGAATTACAAACACTCTCCATCTATTGGCATTGACCATGGGTTTTCTTATCGCAGTGCGGTATGCTGGTCGCAATACTGCAGGCAAAACATGCATGCATTGCAGATCTGTGCTTATTGAGTCAGCAGCAAATACAGTATTTGGGAATCCAATAGAAAATGATTGAAATTGACCATAATTCTTTTTTTTCTGCAGTAACATTACCGGTACACATTTCCAGAGTCGTACAATATTAGAAGACTACATGTCCCAGATCACTACTGCTATCATTTACCATACTGTATTTGTATTATATCTCAGGTCAGTGCCAGTTATATCAGTCGTAACCTACTGTGCTCATTTACTGGCATACTTATGTCAGTGGTGCTACATCGGTACATTTTGTTTGTATGAAACATCTTCCATTGTCTTTTTTTATTTTACCACTGTGTCTTTATCATCTGTGGTTGTGTTTTGATTAAAACAAAGAATAAAAGAGCAACAAACCAAATAAATAATAACAACAAATTTTTGGACACTTCCATACATTTTTGAATTACGTGCTTTGAATGCAGTGTTGCATGGTATTGATTTCTGTGGTCCTTGAGTGGGGTGGGAGGGTGCAGTAAGGTATGGAGGCAGAAAAAGGGGGGAGAAAAGTTCCAGCTGTCATAGAGAGCTATGGGATTCTGTGTGTGTGGATATGTCAGTGTGTGTTTTTGTGCTGGGCTGCTACCAGGCATTTATTATCGGCCAGAGAAGGGTCAAGCATTAAGGACATGTCTGCCTCCTTGACAGTAGTCTAAAGTGGGTGGGGGTGTGAGAGGCACCTGAGCAGGTTAGGTGTGTGTATATGCCTGCTCTTTCGTGTTTGTGTGTGCGTGTTGTGGGGGAGGTCAGTGTCAGAGAGAGAGTGCGCTCTCCCTGAAGCATTTTTCAAGATTGCGCTGGAGCATTTTCTCTTCTATCGGCCAAAGGCTGGCACAAGCAGGCAGGTGCCTGGACCAAACATGCACCCCATATCCTGCGTCCCCGGGGTGAGTTATGGGCGAATGGACTCGCCAGTGGAGGATGGAGCCCCCCCGCACCCACTCTCCGGTGTGGCTGATGGATAGGGGACCGCTCCAGCTCACCCCGTGTTGTGACAAGGAGCAGATGTTCTCCAATAATGTTTATCGGCCAGGCCTTCATCTTCAGATGACACACACCTGTTTCCAGTCAAACAGGCCAAGAGAAGCCATCCATCCACTAAGCTCTGGGTGGCCACTGCACCACTGGATCAGCCCTCCACACAAAATGCTGGGTGCCACAGCAGACAGCGGTGCCACAAATGAAGAGCTGGCACGCCAAAAGATCTAAATGATATGATACAAAAGTGGCTCTGGTGGAAGCCTAACGTGATGCTTAGCACCCTGCTGCACACTGCACAGTTGCTCCAGTCTGGTAGTACAAATACATACAGTACATGCAGTATGTAGCAGGGGGTTTCTTTTTTTATTTAGGACACTCATACGAAAAGGAGCTGATTCAGAAATTATTTTTGTTTACCTAAAATGTGGAAATGTAAAAAGTGCAGGAACAAAAGTGTTCTTTGTGCTAAAAAGCTTTTGGACGGGAAAAAAGGCCTACTGTTGTATGCATGCTAGCTTATCGGGAGTGAGGGAGAGAGAGAAGAGTGCAGGAAACTGGCGATGAAATAGCCCGTAAAAGGTAAGATCGCATCATGGGTACTTTTTGGCTGTAATTAAGCATACACCACTCTTTGCAAAAGAGATTCTATCACTTTACTGCCAGAGCTCCACGTCCCAGAGATCATTTCTGCCAGTCTGCGCTGAACCAGATCCCCCAGAAGGCCACTGTGTTTTGAACTCCAGCTGACAAAGCTGTCGGGTCAGATAAAAGAACGAGGGGGAAATCAGTTCAACACGTCCTGCACCATTTGTCCGGTTGTTGCCTAGAAAAATAAATGTTAAACGTTGAGGCTGCAAGAAGATGCGTATCAAGGAACTCTCCCACACTCTGCAGTCTGTGCGGTGTAAAGAAGGCATCTTTGGTTTAGCTGTGTCAGCAGTGCACATCAGCAGAAATGATCTTACAAATTGCTCTAAGTAGAAACTATATATTGATTTCTTGGATTTTTTATAGTTGAAATGAAAAATGTAACTAGACTTAGATAGATGTACATTAGTATACTCACCACTGGATGGCGCTCAATATGGAAGAAAGCAATTGAGCCACTGAACTTACCTTTGATTCAAGCCAGCATACATGAAGGAATGGCTCATGGTATAATATAATTAAAATATAAAGTATATATATTCAGACTGTCCGACACTCAAGCATACAGTTCATGTTTAAATTGCTGCAGCTGTTCTAAAACCATAACCTGCTATACCCACTGTTTCAAACATGGAGCTGAAGGCCTTGATGAGCTACTTTCTAATCTAACCCATGAGGAGTGAATGAGATGATTTCAAGAGCAGGCTCCAAGTGGTTCTGCCACCACGCCTGTCCTGATTAGACTCGTCATATTAAAACCATGTGCACGGCTGCTCTGCTCTGTCCCGGTCTGTTCCCCGGGACTGTGCTGAGTGTCCATCAATAACACTAATGACCCGTAGCCTCCAGGGAGAAAAACAAACAGTGTAATGAAACCACAACCTTAAGCTCTGCTGCTTTCTAAGAGGGAGAGGGAAGGGGTGGGGGTAATACAAGAGATAAGCAGAGAAGAAGAAGAAAAAGAAAAGTGGAGCGTCTGACTGGCCTGTAATCATCTGCTCTGCACACAGATACAAGGGAGGACATCAACAGTGGAAGTTCTACCATTATTGTTAATGCAACAAAAACTTGATGTGATGATTTGTGGAGTCTCCCCACCCAAACACACTTCCCACTTGTGCCAACTGTAAGCAAGCGCCACTCCATACCAGCCCCTCTACCCCCTGTCCCCCGTTGAAGGCTATACTCCCACACCCATCCATGCCTCCCTCTCCGAAAATGTTTCCCCTGGCGTCTGAGTCAGCACAGGTGCCAAGTCAATCAGTGTGAGAGCTGCCAGCTGTGATGGCCTCTCTCTCTGGGGGTGTGATGCATGTTCCAGAGAGGGGAGTAGGGCAGTTACATGCCACACAGGGTCTGGCTGCATGAACGGGTGGCATAGGAAAGGATGGGAGGTTTGGGGTGAGGAGAGAAAGAAGGAGGGGAGGAAAGAAAAAGAAGACAGTGGCTGAACAGGAGCTGTAATGAGGCCTGATGGATTCTGAGGCTGTGCCAGCTGCCCCATTAGCTGAGTGGCTCCAAGCCCCACGAAACTTTGCCCACAGTGTGCCCACCCGTCCACACACACGCCCACACACACACACACACACACACACACACACACACACACACACACACAGTAGGGACACAGCAGCTTGGGGTTCCAACCTCTCTGACACACACTTCGCATTTAACTAAAACAGATTGCACTGACTAATGCACTCTCTTCTGTCTGACTTCCTTAGCTCTTTAAACACACATACACACACGCGCGCGCACACACACACACACACATACACACCCACACACACACATACACACTCATCCAGGGCCTTGCCAGCCACACTTCAATACACACTGAGCCCTTTATGAGAAGCTGTGGGTTAATGACGGAAATAACTCGTTCCAACGTGTTGATTAAGTGTCAGAGGATACATGGGTGACATTGGCATGTGCTAATCAACAGTGATCAAACCAGTGCACGCACACAGACAAATGTTAAGCTGCCAAACTCACCCGGGTGCCCTCCTCGCACCACTCCACTGCCCACACACAATGACATTATACACACTGCTGTCTATTCATAATATTTTGGAGGCAGTGCCTTTGGACTTTTCTCTGTGTTCTTTATGTAGGTGATGTAATTACATGGGCAATTTGGATTGCAGTGGGGGTGTGGCCACTGAGGGGTGGTGGCAAAATCACACTGCCAAGTTAGTTCCCAGATGTAGTCAAGGTATAATTCCTATTTGTTAAAAGCCTGTTGAGCAATTGCTGTTTTATTGCACTTGCAAAAGGATTAGTTGTTTGCCTTTGGATGATGGTTTTGTACCAATGTAAGGTCAGAAAACTTCTCACTTCTCTGTATTAAAGTTAAAACATGGTTCCTTTAGGGCTTTTTACATGTAACTTCTGGCTTCTCAGTAGCATGATGGTATCAATATGATGAAAATAAGCTGCTATAAACAATATTGAATTGACTTTGTGCAATGTGGAAGGGGTGGCTTGCAGTGACAAAACCACAGAGAATTTACACCAGACTCTGCATTCACCCTCAGCTGTATGGGGTTTTATAGCATCTTTCAGGTCACTGTGTTGGTTTTGCGGTCTGCAACTGTATTGTTTTGGTTCTCTCTCACCGCTCTTATAGTGTCATTTCTGGTCGGAGCCAGCACCAGTCAGAGAAAAAGCTACTACTGTGCACTACCTGCTCAGCACCAAACAGACACAGTAGTGACTAGCTGGTTAGCATAGTGGTGCTGTTGCATGACTACTGACTAGTTCATATATCATATAGTCCGCAATAGTACAGGTGGAAACTCATACTTAGGACCATTATCACTTCCACTCTATTGTGGCCCTGGCCTGCACCATCACTACCATCACTGCAGCTGACCTCATCAAAGCTGGACGACCCGCGCTGACCTCATCAACACTGCGTGACCCCCTGTGACCTCATCAAAGCTGGACGCCCCATGGAGCCCTGAGGGCTGACGACAGGCCCTAAGAAAACACCCCATCCATTAGGGTGCCAAGAGCACTGTAAATGTGGAGTGTCAGCGCCAGCCATCTTCACTGTCATGCCCAATTCTCCAACCCCCCACCCGAGCTACTCTCTGGACAATGGAGCTGCTGAATCTCCAACCCTCCCAGCCACAATGTCCGCCCACGTTGGCTGGCAGCAGTGACAGAGGGGGGTGCCGGATGGGGAGGCCTGCTGCAGGATGGGACTCTTATTGAGCGTTTGAGCGATGAGCCAGGTCATCACATCTACCCAACTCATCCATCATGCCCCACAAACGGACACAAATAAAGAGGACACATTCCTGCCTCCGCTCCCACTACCATATTCAAGCCCTCTCCAGCCTTTTCTCTCCTTCCTTCTCTCAATTCGAGCCAAAGCCTGGAGAAAAAAAAGAGGACCAGAGTTCAGGCGCTCCCTCGCTCTTGGAGGCCATGGGAGCGCCAGAAGAAAGCGCCAGGTGCTTTTATGACTCACATCTCTTAGTATAAATCTGTGTTTGGGCCAAAATGATGGGCAGCCAGAAGGACTGTATGGAGTGGGGAGGTGTGAGGGAGATGGGAGACAAAGGATGAGTAAAATGTTAAAGGAGAAATAAAGAGAGAATGGAAGACATGTCAATCCACATTGTAGTCCTTTATTTCTTAGTTGTTCCTCCCACAGTATTGAATTGAAATGCATAACAGTTACATTGTAGAAAGCATTAAAACAAAGTACCTCAACTTGCTGATTACTTTTTAAA